TGCACAAATATGTGCATTTATTAATTTTTCCCAAAAGCTGAACTTATCCTTTAAAGAGATGATTTCGATTTCCTGTTCTTTATGACCCCCAATACCTGGACAGGAATTTAGGGAATCCCCTCAACTGGGAAAACAAAAGCAATCAACAGTTCGAAACCATTCCTGACTCCTGTGTTTTTATTGTTGTCTTTGTACTGATTGGGAATATTTATCACCACTTCCTGTTCTATATCATACCTAAAAGACTAGAAATGATAGGATCTTTACAATGGGGACACGGGCAAGAAAATCAATTTACATACGTACTACATCTTCCCCTCTCTTTCCAAAACGAATTTGGCTGTATGACTCCAAGTACAACCAAATGTGATATATCTGGATTCCTTCATCATTGTTAAATTAGTATTATCCTAGAACTTTAGATATTCTTTACATTTATTTATGTGGCTGCTCTCCAAGGAGAATTCCTCTTTAAAGCAAGATTAAGTTTCCAGCTGGGGGTCAGTGAAGTGGGAAAGGGTTGCCACAGCATGACCATAGCAGTTCTGGTCTTTTTATCAAATGTTATAGGGTCATCAGTCCCTCTGGACATTAATGATCTGTAATACAATCATGGCCAAAGATATTGGCACCCCTGCATTTCTGTCAAATAATGCGCCACTTTACCCAGAAAATGGTTACAATTACAAATGTTTAGACATGTTCATGTTTATTTCTTTTGGTTGTATTGGTATGACACAAAAAAGTGGGGAAAAAAAGCCAAATCTGACATATTCCATGCAAAAACGCAAAAATGGACTGGACATAATTATTGGCACCTTCCCAAAATTGTAAGAAATAATTGCATTCCAAGTTTGTGCTGCTCCTGTAATTTGTACAATTGTGATTCCTTGTTTTGAATAGTCCCAATTATTCTTATTTGAATTTTTTGCAATTTGTTACTATTGTGGAATTGTTTTTTGTTATTATGTGTCTTCTTTGCCTGTCCCATAGGTGTTGCTGTGATGCATCAAACATGTGTAGCCCCCACACACGGGTTTCCTGTAGAGTTGGGGTCTTTTTGATCCCCCTGGCCCTTCAATATGTTCTGTGTATCTGCCATCCTTTACACAGACATTGGGCTGTGCAGTTCCATCAGTGTGCCCTTTTTGTATGGAGACCTGGTTGCCATGCAACAGTGGGACATCCACACATGCCGGCGTTGACTGCACCTTACCAGACATGACATCGTGACACAGCATATGCGCCGGAAGTGACGTCACGGTGGCCTGGAAGTTAGTAGAGGACATCTTTGGTGAGGTGGGAGATTCCCTCCCCATGTCAGGTGCTGGCTTAATGATAAGTGACCTTTAGTAATGGGAAGTTAATTTGACCAAGGTGTGGCTATTGTTGAAGCTCAAACCTATATAGGGGGAGCTGCTTATTCTGATCTTTGATGTGGACGATTTGGTCATGGCGAACTGACACTCTGGCATTCTGCATATAATGTAGGTATACTTGAAGAAAAGGACTTATTGTTTGATATTGTTTTGTGATTATGGGTTTGGACAGTTTGACACACTGACTGTATTTTTTTGCATTTAGTTGGTGTGTCTCAAATTAAGTTGGAGATCCTTTACATTGGTCCCTGATACATGAACAGGTGTTGGAACTGTTTGTACCATACTCTTTGATGTTCAGTTTTCTATCTACACATCATCTGCCTGTGTCTCAGCTAGTGGTTTTCTTTTTGGAATAGTTAGTATCATATTTGTACAGTGATCCCTGATACTGTATATGAACATGTGTTGGAATATTACCTAGTATATTCTTTGATGTACAATTTTCAATCCATAGACCAACCGCCTGTTTTTCAGGTAGCATTTTATATTACTTTGGATTAGTCAGGGTCATATAGTATACAATTTCCTCATGCTAACCTTATTGGTAATTAATATGATGCCCTTTGATTTTTAGTGATTGTGTATATACATTTTATCAAAACAGTGAAGTGGCGAGCGAGTGACCCGATATGATTATTGCACCACATCCCTTAAAATTGCAAATATTCAATAGAGAAGATGGGACTTTCAGGATGCATAGACATGAATACCACACATTAAAAGTTATATCATTTTTATTTCATATTTTGGTAAAAAACACAAGAAAGGAAAAAATACAGAAACATAAAAACATTTTAATTCTAAGAATATCAACTGAGATTCAAACTTGGTTAGGTAAATGTAGTTACTCCCTACATGTTTCGCCCCCACAGGCTTCTTCAGGGAAGATTTTTTTAGGAAATTTCTACCGCCAAGGCAGTCCTGGATGTGAAAGCTCACGAAGCTAGGAGAAAATGACCTAAAAAAGATCTTAATTGGCCTACACGTCCAAAACAGTTGCAGAGGATATAATGGGCATCAGATATCATCTGTTAAATGCTGTAGAAGGATATATAGGTATAACCTAACAAAGATCTATTTGACCTATACGTTCACAACCGTAAGAGAGGAAACAATGGACATCAAACATCCATCTCCGTTCAGATCCAAAACAGCCTCCAGGATACTCAGTGTGCACTGGTGATTAGCAAAAATATACATTTTATCATTTCCTAAAGGACTATCCATATCAGGTGTAAACATTCTGCTGAATCCTGTCTGCCTAATTGCCTAATCATTTTTAGTTCACCATGGCCTACTATTGCTTACTATTACCCGTTTAAATGTAGGTGTCTCCCTTATATTTATATGTATTAAAATCTTGGTTTATATATACATTGTAAATAACAAGTGTCTTTATAAATCCATTTACTGGCCTTCATCTGTTCAGAGGGTTCACTAGAAGGTCCTTTTGCTCACGTGACACCAGAGGATTACTAGCAAAGTTTTTGCTTTTAACCGACATATGGTTATGTAAGTTAAGTATGGATTTGACAAGAAAATGAATGGCTTATGAGAAAATAGCACTATATGTTGTATTATCAATACTTTTATTGTTTTATGGAAGTTTTTCCTGTATTCTAATACTCCCCCTGAAGAAGATTAAAAGTATGAACTACACAAATTCAAATGCGTCGGGGTTACATTTCTTGAATATAGCCAAAGCTCTTTCCTCTGACAATTTTACTTGCTGATACCATACTCTTATGTCATGTAAAAAGAGTTTTTCTATGGATATTTAAAGATTAAATTCAATCAAATGTAATTTTATAATATTTGTTGTCGAATTATAGAGCTTGAAAAGTCCCTGTTTCTAAAAAATGTATGCCCTTCAATGCTCTGATAATTGGGATATAAGCACCATAATTTTTTCATTATGGCGGACTAGTAACAGATACATCTCCACTCCTTTAATTTGTAATTAAATCAATAAACAGATCTTAATGTTCCTGTGTCCACTGTGCGAAACATTGTCAAAAAGTTTACAGCCCATAGCACTGTAGCTAATCTTCCTGGACGTGGACAAAAAAGAAAAATTGATCAAAGATTGAAAAGAAGGTTTATCCGAATGATGGTTAAAAAAATCTCAATCAACATCCAGACAAATTCAAGCTGACCTTCAGGTACAGGCTACAACTCTGTCAGCTCGCACTATATGTCGCCATCTGAATGAAAAAGGACACTATGGTGGGAGACCCTGGTGGACCCCACTGCTAACACAGAAACATAAAAAGCCAGATTGGAGTTTGCCAAAACGTACCTAGGGAAGCCTAAATCTTTTTGAGAGAATGTGCTGTGGACAGACAAAACAAAATTACAGCTTGGTAAAGCCCATCATGCTACTGTTTTCAGAAAAAGAAATGGGGCCTTTTAAGTAAAAAATACAGTCCCTATTTTCAAACATGGTAGAGGTTCACTGATGTTTTGGGGTTGCTTTGCTGCTACAGGCACTGAATGTCTTGACCTTGTGTATGACATTATGAAATCTGAAGACTACCAAATAATTCTGGGGTGCAATGAAGGGCCCAGTGTCAGAAAGTTGGGTCTCTGTTAGAGGTCATGGGACAATGAACCAATGCACACGTCAAAAAGCACCCAGAAATGGTTTAAGACAAAGTTCTGAAGAGTAATGAACTGGCCAGCAATGAGTCCAGATTTTAATCCCATAGAGCACATGCAGAGAGATCTCAAAAGAGCAGTTGGGAAAAGGAACCCTTCCAATTTGAGAGACCTGGAGCAGTTGGCGAAAAAAGAGTGGTCTAAAATTCCAGTAGATGTGTAAGAAACTCATTGATGGTTACAGGAAGCAATTGATTTCAGTTATTTTTTCCAAGCGGTGTGCTACCAAATATTAAATTGGGGATTCCAATAATTTATTCCAGTCCATTTTTGTGCTTTTGCGTGGAATGTGTAAGATTTGGCTTTTTGTTTCTCCACTTTTTTGCATCATACCAATACAAACAAAAGAAATAAACATGGGAAAGCTTAAAGATTTGTAATTGCCACAATTTTCTGGGCAAGTGGTGCATTATCTGACAGAAATGCAGGGGTGCCAATATTTTTGGCCATGACTGTAAATAATCTGCAGTAAAATCCCACTGACAATTCAAAACCCTACCAAAAGCCACAGGTTCCCTTTACTTTACAGCAAAGCCTATAATACCTCAGTTAATTTATAGATTTCATTAAATGATCATTTAAAACAGCTGAGAACATGAAAGGTGGAGGCGTAACAAACCTGAGTAGATATAAAGTGCAGGCACGTAGGGGTGTCTACAAATACCCTTCTGCGGCCTCCCAAACCCTTTTATCATAGCTGTATATCAGGCAGTTCTGACAAGCAAAACTTCACTGTTTTATTAAGTGGCAAATCTTGGCCAAGTTTTCCTTCCCCTCACAAAATCCTATTGACCACCGACATGCCCATAAAAGCGATGGGACAATAGAAATGTGGGTGTCAAGACTTAGCAGCAAGCTCTGACACTGCTCAGCAGTATTGGAACTTTGACTGTGCCTGCAGTAGTTTCCCCATAACAGAGTCTGTGTGAATGCATTCTAATTTTCTTAGGCTATTTTTTTTTATACATTAGTGCCCTCTAAGAACCACTTTTCCAAACTAGGAATGACTTGGTAATCTGGAGCTTGCCTTAATGCCCTACATGCTTTGCAATAGTGATTGTCCCACCCAGTTTCCCTTCTTACGCGATACAATGATCTCCAGTTGAAGTAATTCTTGTATCTTTCATCATCATTGTCCAACTGAATAAGGTAGTCTGCAAGGTCCTTTGCACTTGGAAAATCATCAACGTGAATGAAAGCCTCCCCAGGAAGAAATCTCTCATAGTTTTTCCTAGTTGTCCCTAACACGACAGGTACAGCCCAAGAGTCAAAAGCATTTGACCACAGCTTCTCAGTTATATAATCCTTATAAATGGAATTTTCAAACGCAAGGTAAAACTTGTACTGAGAGACGGTTGTATAGAAATCATCCCAAGATAACTTCATGTGGCTCTTTCCATAAACATCAATTGGAATGTACTTATTCAGCTCCTTATAATACTCATTGCGCCGTACGCCTGGATACCACTTACTGACCACCCAAGCAACCAATTTAGACTTTACTGGGATAGTAAAGCTTTGAGGCTCTCTCAATGCTTCAGTACGGCCATAAGGTCTATAAACATCAGAGTCCTGGCGGAATGTCATGGTCATATTGAACATATTGTCTAAGAAGTGGAGATTTTTAATAATTAAAGGGGGTTCCATGTTGAACCAAACCCAGCGCTGGTAATGAGGTCTTGGATCCTGAGGCAAAGAATTTTTGTCATACATGATGTCTACGTGGTGCATGACCACAGCATCAGCCATGTTGTAGAGGCTTCGGTCCGAGGTCAGTTTGCAACCAGAGATGCCGTAAACACTTTGACAAGTATTTAGCGGAAAAGGTTCCCCAAAAGGCCAAACCCAGACAAGAACAAGGAGATCTTTCTCTTTATTTTGGACTGAGACTGGAGAGTCATTTGGAAGTTTTTCTGCTGTTGAGTGCATAATGTCTCTTTGTTTACATTCAAAGACCATGGAAAATCCTGCTCTTTGCCATGACCAGATAAAGAAGATCACAAAGAAAAGAACTGGGACTAGTATGATCAAGTTCTGATTACAAAATGGTTTCATTGCTGAGCTTAATCTGAAAAGAAATAAACAAAGACAACATTAGATTCAGTAGTGCTGTTTCTGAAAAGCAAAATACTACTTTATTGACTTTTTTGGAAATGTATTTTTAAATACAATTAAACATTAAAGAATAAATTCACCCAATAGGGAAAGTTCCTTTCTTCCTCCTCATCTTCCCTCCTCTGCCATTTTTGGAACAAAAGGGGAGGGGAAGCGAATACCTAGTTTTGACAGGTACCCTCTTCCTATTCTGCTCAGATTGCCTAAGTAATTCAAATGGAAGTTCTTCTCCCCCCTCCCTGCCGACAACCTTTTGCGACATGTCACAGGTCCCAGAAGGATGCAGGACCATCCACAAAACTCAGTGCGGTTCACGCATGCTCAGTGGGTAGCCGTCTGTGAAGCCTCAAGCAGTCACAGCCGGCTGCTCACAGTTAACATGCTAGCACTAGGGACCTAAGACTGGTGAAGAAGCCGGCTCAGGTGAGGACGGTGCTGGAACTTTACACAAGTGAGTTTGTAGCTGCTTTTAATTTTTAAAGACATGACTGAAGAACTTCTTTATGTTTGTAATTATATTGTAGCATTTGTCTGTTAAACCATAATTCTTGTGGGCCATTTTTTGTATATTGCTTGGGGGCTAATAGAGAGTAATCTCATACCTAAACCATCATACTACCAAGAGAAAGTTGGAGGGTTGTGTATTATCTTTCTGACTGTGTGCATACAGAGTTATGTTATGCTTATGTTATGCTATCATAGCAATTCTACCTGTAACATAACTGTTGTGCCTTCCTCATTTTTTCAATTATACAACCACTTTTTCTTCTAATTATTCCTATGGAAACCCTTTGTTGGCAGACCAAATCGCTGCTGGAATTACTCCAACACGAATATGTCCCTATAGTCTACCAGAAGTTGGTTCACAAAAAGTTCATGGATGGAGCAGTGCATTGGTTGCTGGAAAGATTGTTTTCTCTTTTTTATTTTTGTTCAATTCCACTTATGCTGAATAGGGAAAAGTAAGAAGCTATGTGAATGTACAGTATATATATATAAGGGTAAAACATATATTAGAAATTAAAGTTAGGAAAGCATCAACTACTTTGGCCAATTTTGGCTTTTGCAAATCTCATAAACCTAGATCTTATTCACAATACAAAACAAAAAATGTTTAAACTGAGAAAATTTACCATAATGAAATCCTTATGAAATCCTAAAAAAAAAAATAAGGTAATTTTGAAATCGATGGCAGCAACAGGTCTGAAAAAAGTTAGGACAGGGGAAAAAAGCTGGCAAAGTAAGTGGTACTAACAAGAAAGAGCTGGAAGAACATTTTGCAACTAATTAGGGTAATTGGCGACAGATCAGTATCATGACTGGGTATTTTAGAGAGTGAGGTTGTAAGTTCAAAATAATGTTCCTCCATATAAAATTGCGAACACTTTAAATATATCAACATCTACAGCACATATCAAAAAAAGTTTCTGAGAATCTGGAGAAATGTCTGTGCGCAGGGGACAAGGCCGAAATGCAATATTGGATGCCTGTGATCTTCAGGCCCTCAAACAGCACTGCAATAAAAACAGGCACATTTCTATGATGGATATTACTGCATGGGACCAGGAATACTTCTAAAAATTACTGTCTGTGAAAATAGCTGTGCTGTTCTAAAATGCAAACTAAAGCTCTATCATGCAAAGAAGCCATATCTGAATATGATCTACAAATGCTGACTTCTTCTCTGGGTCAAAGCTAATTTAAAATGGTCTGTTGCAAAGTGGAAAACTGTTCCGTGGTCAGACAAATCAAAATTTGACATTCTTATTTGGCAACCATGGGCTCCTGATTCTCTGGACTAAAGAGGAGAAGAACCTTCTGGCTGGTTATCAGTGCTCGGTTTAAAAGCCTGCATCTCTGATGGTATGGGGGTGCATTAGTATGGGCAGATTGCACATCTGGAAAGGCACCATTAGTGCTAAAAGGTACAGTATATCCAGATTTTTGAGCAGCATATGCTCAGGCAAAAATCGGACATTTCTCTCCCAAAATTCCAGCAACTGGTATATTCAGTTCCCAGACATTCATAGAGTATTGTTAAAAGAAGAAGGGATGCTACACTGTGGTACACATGGCCCAATCCCAACTTTTGTGGAATTTGGGTTTTAAATCATTCATACTCCTCTATCAACTTTTTGTGTAACCAAAGATATGGCTTTTGGGGCTAGAGCAGTGGTCTCCAAACTGTAGCCTGCAGTCCAGATGTGGCCATTTGCTTGCCTTTATCTGACCCTTGGGGCGCTATATCTTCCACTAATACAAGGTACAATACCTTTCACTGACACCAATGATGGGGAACCATTCCTTAAACTGACACCAATGATTGGGCACTATCCCTTCCACTGACATCAACAATGGGGCACTATTCCTCCGATTGACGCCAACAATGGGGCACTATTCCTCCCATTGACACCAACAATGGAGGACTATTCCTCCCACTGACATCAACAGTGGAGCACTACTCCTCACACTGTCACCAATAATGAGGTACTTCTCCTCACACTGTCACCAATGATGGGGTACTATTCCTTTCATGAACACCAGGGATGGGGCACTATTCCTTCCACTGACACTATTGATGGGATGCTATTCCTTCCCCTGATATCAACGATCAGCACTACTTCTCCCACCAATACCAATGGTGCGGCACTATCTCTTCTCCTACTGACCACAGGCTATACTGTATATAATTTTCCTACTCCTAATGAAAACCAAGCCTTAGGCATTGTCTACTCCCCCTGATACTGAGATGTTTTCTACTCCCACTGGCAACAGTCTGCCCCACCTTAAATCTGGCGAACAGTAATTTGGCCCTTTGTTTAGAAAGTTTGGAGACAGCTGGTCTAGAGTCATATCTCAGCCATAAACTACTAGCAAAGTGAAATCCTGGACTACCAAACTCTTGTGTGACACCTTGGGGTTTATTTACTAAAGTTGGAGAGTGCAAAATCAGGCTCACTTCTGCATAGAAACCAATCAGCTTCCAGGTTTATTACCAAAGCTTAATTGAACAAGCTGAGGTTAGAAGATGATTGGTTTCTATGCAGAAGCTAGCCTAATTTTGCACTCTTCAGCTTTAGTAAATTAACCCCTTTATGTCCCCAAAAGTGTAACTATTAAATATTTATATACAATATATCATATAAAAAAATATTTAAAAAATCAAATGAAAAATGCTAATATTTAAATATTCCTAAAGTAGTTCTATAGTCACAGCATACACTTTCATAATATAACATCAGCATTCTATCAGCAATACAAACAAAAGTTATATTTGACAATCCAATATAAACTTATTTGTATATGGATCTGCTGCTCTCAACTGTCTGAATTTGTAAATTACTGTAAAAATATTATGTATGAATTTCCTGTCCCTGGGTTGTTGGATTTGAAACCCCAGAAGGAGGAAGTGTAGAGAAAGGGGAATTCTCAACCACATGTCCTGTCCATGCTGCTAAACCCCAAGCCAGAAGGGACTAATATACAAATATTCCTAAGATTTTAACTGCAGCTGCTGAGTTTACTGTATATCCAAATTCTTGTGACAGAGTATCTCAGCCTTGTCCTTGTTATCAGGTATTTCACAAGCACAGGGCCAAATATCTAGGTCTATGGTACTGTACATGTAGTGGTCACCTTACAGTATATTGGTAGGTGAACCTGTTTTTTGCAGTATATTATTTATATGCAGTTCTTGTTATTCTAGTTGACCCTGTCCCCCCTGGTTTGGGATTCTATAGCTAGTTATAGCTTAGAGCTTGATAACCAATATAAGCTAGAGCCAAGTTAGCCTTCTGATGGCTACTTTAGGATCATTAGCTTAGAGGTCCGATTGCATGTCAGATTAAAAGCCATTAGGGAGAGAGCAACGCACAGCTAGATGATCTCCCCATGACTGCAGATCTTGTTTTCAGGTCTTTGATGCAAAGAGAGATGCCACATCATCTCCAGGGGCCCCTGCAACTGGACTTGGCTGGAACATTTATCTAGAGGAACCTCTATTATTATTAACTATATATACTTGTGTATATGTGCACAATTCCACCAGGACGCCTATTGGGCCCTTTGCTGATAGTACCCATTTTTACATTGGATGTATGTACTTTTATTAACCTTTCCTTATATAAAGCTTGTTATATCTCCTTACTGGTGTGCATCTACAGTATATACTTATGGTTAAAGAGATTCTAAAGGCTTGTTTTTGCTTTAAGAAAAAAATAACAAATATGTCTATACTTACCTGTTGTATGTAGTGGTTTTGCACAGAGCAGCCTGAATCCTCCTCTTCACAGGTCCCCCCTCAGGCTCTCCTGACCCCTCCTTCCTGTTGGGTGCCCTCACAGCAAGCAACTTGCTATGGGGGCACCCTCTGCTCCATGGGTCCATTTGCACATGGAGCCGCAGCTTGGTCCTGCCCCCTCTCTCTTCTCATTGGCTCACTGGCTGTGATTGACAGCAGTGGGAGTCAGTGGCTCTTGCGTCTTTCTCAGCCAATGAGGCGAGGGAGTCCCAGGATGGCCGAGACTCCAGTG